CTCTCTCTCGTGGCAGAAGCTTTTCTCCGTTTTCTGAGACTCCTAACCACTGTTCTGGTATCCATTCACACAATATCGTCAGATAATTGGTTCGCTGTCTTCTCGTATCTCTCTTGCCTTCGATGTACCCTGATCATTTTTTCTAGCCTCCCTCCCTTATTATGTGTCCAAGAAATGACAGCTGTCTCTTTGGGATTCTGAGTATAAGTGTTCTTTTTCTTACCATTTACTTTATGATAACCAATAACTTATAGTCATTCTTTGGTGCGAGGGTGAAAAAAATATAATGAGAATTGTTAGCAAAAGAGTCAGCTCAATATGTGAGCTACAAAATGGAGATGTCAAAATCTTGGAAATGTTTCAATGGATGACGGAAAATATAGCGGACTGGAATAGCAAAATTTAACCAAATCATTAAGAATAAAATAGCATTTAATTAGAAACAAAGAAAGCGTGCCTTTTATATAGTTTAAGGGGAATTTTTCTGATGAACTTTCTTATATGGTAGGAAGACTTTAAGCGCAATACTAGATTGGCGGCTAAGGCCTCATCATTTTACAGTTGAAATGGCTAGATGTAAACCGTAAGTTCTATGCTAACAGTTTCTTCTATCGCACTTCTCGCCTGTTGAACTCTCCTCTAGCTTCTTGCTTCTCAGTTAAATTTGATCTTCAAAACTTGAAATGCAATGTCGATCTTTATCTTCTATCTTTTGAATGCTTGTTCTCTCTACTTAACAACAGTTTTTCGAATATTTTCTAACACTCAGTAACTTAGTGATTTTATTGTCTTGCTTGGGGGGAAATGATTAAAAAAAAACTTGCTTAAAAGTTATGTGATACCAATCTTCCTGTGGCGGTGAATGCTCGGCAATTTCCTCACAGATATGGATGAGACTTGAGTTAGAAGAGAAGCGGTTCTACAGAATAATGCTGAGAATACCAAGCACTAAAAGCATTATTCACATGAGAAAGAGACCATGTGCTTTATACATATCCCCTTCAAAAACATAAAGAATAGAAACCTATATAATAAATTGTAATGTCTTTATTAAACTTTGAACAAGAAAGAAAATCAGTTTTACTGTAATTAAATAAAGGTTTTGTCAGATTGATTAATGTTTGTTGGATTATGTAATGCCAAATTTTGTATGAGCCACCAAGTGATGTTCAAACCTACTTGTTACGGTCAATCACACATGTCTCGATTAGATCACCCTGAAGAGCACACAATTACATGAAAGAGCATTATTCTTTTGTACCACCTCAATAAAAATTACAAATGATCGATATAAAGGAATTTTAAAAGTTGAAATATTAAAATCTTGCTAACTTTTTTTAAAAATCTAAAGTTCGGTGTTTAAAACTGTAAAGCAATTCACATTTTTAACAAAAGTGTTAAGAATTTACATCACAATTTCAGTCATAGATTTTAGTTATTTAAAAAAATCAAATTAAAAGTATTGTTTTTCATGTGAAAATTGCCACTTTCACTTTGTCTCCATTGACGAAATGCGGTCCACAGAGGGCTATCAGTAGTGACAAATATATTGGGAAGCATCGCTTCTTCAAGCAATATGCCAGAATTCTGTTGAAATTGATATATTTTGTATATATCCATCATCCATATCACAGCTCATCAGTCGCTTCAGGCCAGGACCGAAACCCGACCGATTTGGTATTAGTCAGAGATCTAGTCCCTAGGTCATCGATGCCCGGCAGAGAAAAAGGCGAATATTTGCGTATTTATTTTTTCATAAAAAACTCCAGTCACTCAGAGTCACTAGGAGAGTCCTGCATTATCAGCAGTAAAATTGACTGCTTGAAAGCTCGTTTCTTACTCCCAACAGTGCTCGACAGATTAAATTATCGTCATCCACAGACAGACTGTTTCGCTGTATATATGTATGTATGTAAAATAAATGATTTCCTATATTATAATTCGATGAACTCTTATTTAAAAATAATGAATAAAGGCTTAATAGAATTTATTTTTAAAAAATGTCACCCCTACTAAGAAATTTCTAAAATCATATATAGATACAGTAGTACTATGACTTTTTGGTGATTCCTAGAACTTCCTGGAATATATATATATATATATATATATATATATATATATATATATATATATATATATATATTAAAATGGACAAAGTGCAACAATTTATTTAAAAGACATTTTTTATGTTTAACGTTCTTTTTATAGATACAAGTATTTAAGTAAATGCTCCATGAATCTTACTTAAATACTTGTATCTATAAAAAAGAACGTTAAACATAAAAATGTCTTTAATAAATAAATTGTCGGACTTTGTCCATTTCTTAAAATATATGACGTCATTTGTTTACATTTGATACGCCAGAGCAGTTATGAATGTGCAGAGATTCATGGAAGATTGAAGTTTATAAGCAGTAAATTCGACCTTGTCTACCGAACGCTTCTTTGTGGCCGATCGGTAAGGCACGTCAGCGTAAATGACGGTTCCGTATAGAATGCAGGTTCGAATCCTGTCAAAGAACGAATATTTTCTATAAAAAATTTCTCGGACATTCAGGCCGGTAAATGTTATTTAATACTGTTTATTATAAACAGAGCATTTACTTAAATACTTGTATCTATAAAAAAGAACGTTAAACATAAAAATGTCTTTAATATATATATATATATATATATATATATATATATATAATATTAAACATTATGTTAATTGCTACCCATATTTGAGTAGATGCTCCGTTTATTAAAATGTATATTTATTTATTTAAAACTTATACACATATATTTGTCTCCCAGGTTCATTATTGGAGAAATCTTATTAAAGGAAAAATCGGATACAACGATGGTTTCTCCTGCAAAGGGGGAAGCAAGTACGAATCCTGCTAAAGAGACGATATTTTTCTTTAATAGATTTACTCTAATATTCAGTCCCCTGGATGAAAATAGAGAATGTTTAATAAATAAACGTAGCATCTATTCAAATATAGTTATCCACTAAAATTTAAAATGTTAAAATTTAGAGGATTAGTAAATTAAAAAATCCATTACTTCTTTACATATATATATATATATATATATATATATATATATATATATATATACATACACACACACACACACACACACACACACACACACATATATATATATATATATATATATATATATATATATATGGGGTGGAGAGAGAAATGTAGATATTAAAAATAATTATCTATTTTTCCACAGGTTTCATGCACATAGCAATCGTAAAGCACAAATTAAATTCGTCAATATTTTCACTATTTGCATTATTAGGACTATTAATAGTCCGAATAATATAAATAGTGTAAATAATACCTCATCTCAGAAATATAGACAGATACTGAATGATCAGATAAATATGGCAACAAAGATGAGGACAATAGTCCGAATGTAAACAGTATAAATAATACCTTATCTCAGAAATACAGACAGATACTGAATGATCGAATAAATATGGCAACAAAGATGAGGATAGTAGTCTGAATAATGTAAATAGGGTAAATAATACCTCATCTCAGAAATATAAACGGATACTGAATCATCGGTACGGACCCGATACACCGAAAAGATGAATGAGGACAATCGTCTGAATAATATAAATACTGTACATAAATTTGTCCAATATAACTACTACTTCTATGTGCCGTGTCTCTTTCGGACATTGGCGATCATAACTCTTCACCATTTACTGTCCTTTCTCATTCTTAATATATTGTATCTTCTTGTTATCTCTCCTAAACACAGTTCTGTCACCCATTTACTCATGCTCGCAAGGTACATTATGCGTTGTTTTTCTTCTGTCCCTCGTGTGTTCAATCTACCCTGTGAGTATTAAATTTTGTGTCGCAGTTATTTCGATTCTCTCTTTCTGATGTTAAGTATAAGTGTCATTCATGTTACCAGTTTCTCTAGAACTCCGTCCTTGCTCAACCCACAGTATTCTCAGCATCTGTCATTAGAACCATATGTCTGTTGCTTCATGTCACTTTTTCATCTGTGATGAGATTGTCCAGCGTTCACTGCCATACGCGAGGACTGATATTAGTCAGACCTAAATCTGTATTTAATTGTATATCATTATTTTTATTATAAATTTTAGATCTGGTAGTTTACATCGAGCACTGTTCTATTACTTCTAGTAGGCACCGTGTTCTCTTTTATAATTTTATTTAAATGGATAGACAGATAGATATGAACAGACCTAGATTTGATTGATAGATAGATAGATAGATAGATAGATAGATAGATAGATAGATAGATAATGAACAGACCGAGATTTGATTGATAGATAGATAGATAGATAGATAGATAGATAGATAGATATGAACAGACCGAGATTTGATTGATTGATTGATTGATAGATAGATAGATAGATAGATAGATATATAGATATGAACAGACCGAGATTTGATTGAATGATTGATAGATAGATAGATAGATAGATAGATAGATAGATAGATAGATAGATATGAACAGACCGAGATTTGATTGATTGATAGATAGATAGATAGATAGATAGATAGATAGATAGATAGATAGATATGAACAGACCGAGATTTGATAGATAGATAGATAGATAGATAGATAGATATGAACAGACCGAGATTCGATTGATTGATTGATTGATTGATTGATAGATAGATAGATAGATAGATAGATATGAACAGATCGAGATTTAATTGATAGATAGATAGATAGATAGATAGATAGATAGATAGATAGATAGATAGATATGAACAGACCGAGATTTGATTGTTTGATTGATAGATGGATAGATAGATAGATATGAACAGACCGAGATTTGATTGATTGATAGATAGATAGATAGATAGATAGATAGATAGATAGATAGATAGATAGATATGAACAGACCGAGATTTGATTGATAGATAGATAGATAGATAGATAGATATGAACAGACCGAGATTTGATAGATAGATAGATAGATAGATAGATAGATATGAACAGATCGAGATTTAATTGATTGATAGATAGATAGATAGATAGATAGATATGAACAGACAGAGATTCGATTGATTGATTGATTGATTGATTGATAGATAGATAGATAGATAGATAGATATGAACAGATCGAGATTTAATTGATAGATAGATAGATAGATAGATAGATAGATAGATAGATATGAACAGACCGAGATTTGATTGTTTGATTGATAGATGGATAGATAGATAGATATGAACAGACCGAGATTTGATTGATTGATAGATAGATAGATAGATAGATAGATAGATAGATAGATAGATATGAACAGACCGAGATTTGATTGATAGATAGATAGATAGATAGATAGATAGATAGATATGAACAGACCGAGATTTGATAGATAGATAGATAGATAGATAGATAGATAGATATGAACAGATCGAGATTTAATTGATTGATAGATAGATAGATAGATAGATAGATATGAACAGACAGAGATTTGATTGATTGATTGATTGATAGATAGATAGATAGATAGATAGATAGATATGAACAGACTGATATTTGATAGATAGATAGATAGATAGATAGATAGATAGATAGATAGATATGAACAGACCGAGATTTGATTGATAGATAGATAGATAGATAGATAGATAGATAGATAGATGGGATATAGGAAAAAAATGATTTGAATCATTTTAAACAAAATTTTTGTATCCTCATCTAAAATTTCTTGTGGTTGCTCTCATTTTATTATCAAGACTTCTGACTTTGCAAATATCATCCATTTCGAATTTGAAGGGCAGAACATGTCACCGTTCAAGAGTTAAAAAAAAAACATGAACTGTGAAAAAAATCAAACCAATGATGAAAGAAAGAACAAAATAAATCAAATAAAAGGAAGTATTATTAAATTTGGGAAAGTGAAAATAAAATTTCTATGAATAATTTAGCAGAAAAACAGGACTGTGTTTTTCTTGAATCTTCTCACTGCAGTCGTCATTAACAATCACAATAATGGCGGACCTAAAGGACTTCCTCCAAGTGATCACAAACTGACTTGTGCAATGGCCAGCTTTGGGAGAAAATTGCATGAGACCATTTTTCTATTTTTCCAATAATTTTAAGAATCTCATACGGTTGTTTTTCTATTTTATTTAAATGTTTTCTTCGTTTCTTTTTCCCTTTATAGTTCTCTTATTTTTCTTATTCTTCAAATTTATTTCTTTTTCTTCTTCTCTGCTCCTGATTTAGTTTCTTTAGTTTTTTTTTCTACTCATTTTCTTCAAAGATTTTTCACTCTTTTTATCATATTTCTCTTTCTTTTTCTTGTTTATATAATTCTTTCAATTTTCTTCTGTCGATCTCTCTTTTACTCTCTTTTTCGTTTCATTTACTTTTCTCTTCTTTTTACATCAATCACTTTTTTCTTTTATTTGTTAGGCCTTCCTCTTCTTCTATCCGTTTTATTTTAATTATCTTTCCTCTTCTTTTGGTACCTGTTTCTACTACTCTTTTTTTTTTACGTTTTTTTTCTTCGTTCTATTTCCAATTATTTTTATATTTTATATCTTTTTCTTCTTTTATTCAGGCGCTTCTACTTTTTGAAATGGTGAGCAAGATTCTTTCGCTAGTTTAGTTACGACTGAGTAGTCTTCGATCCTCACTAGGTGCGCCATTCTTTCGTCCCTGTGTCACAACTACGCTACGCTGATTTAATCGCTTTTTTTATTATTTTCCTTTTCTTAATATTTTAATGGACGCGTCGTCTCTCTTTGAATCGGAACGACACAAATTATTCTAACTTTGATTTAAAAAGTCGAATACGCGTGAAACATGATTAACCAATGAAAATCAAACATGAAAATAAAGATATCAGAATGTCTCCTTTTTCTACATATATCATTCTCTGGTGAAGCTTTAATAAAAGTTAAACCTGACAGATTGATAAAGGTCTCATATGTGTTCTTTAGCTTATTATTTGTTCTTTATTTTCATATTTTACTTCGTATTTTTGTATTTATTTGCATTTTTTTCTCTTTTCATCTGGTACAAGGCGAAAGTATCACTGAAGTTTACTAAATGAGTTTGTGGCTCAGAATCAAAGTACTATAGCTACTCCTTTGTTCAGAAACATCATGTCTGTACGAAGTACCTAGACATCGAGACAAGAGCTCTCCTTTAGGAAGATTAAAGGACCCATTAAGAGAAGTAGAGGGTGGGGTCAAAAAGGCTGCTCAGGAATGAGCTGAGATATTTTTTTAGATGGTTCTACAATTCTTTTGTTTTCCTTTTTATTTTTCTACTATTTTTAATTCAATGTTTTGATGTACTTCTTTTTCTTCAGCATGTGTCTTTCTCTCTCTTTTTGTTGTAGTTATTTCCCCTTCATTTTACATCATTTGCTATTTTTCTTTTACTTTTTCTTTCCCTTTTCTTTTTTCTTCTTTATGTTCTTATTCTCTTTTTACTTAGTCTTTTTTTTTCTTTTTGCATCTATTTTTCTTCTTTTTCTTCTATTTTTACTTCAGTTACGTTTTCTTTCCTCTTCTACATTTTCTTCACATCTTTATCGTATTCTTTTTTCTTCCAGTTTCTTCCTCCCATAGAGCTCAAACATTTTTGTGTCCATCTTAGACTTTATCCTCCTCCGACAACTTCACCAGCAACATTAATATTTAATGTTATTATTATTTTGATTTCTCTTTGATTTCTTGATATACTCAAACATTTTTTTTTGTTTCCATGATCAATTTGTAAAAACGAAAATAAATAAATAAATAAATTTTACTCACATGTTCAGCTTACATATTACAAAGAGCTTTATCTAAGCAAAAATGTGTACATTAATATTTAAAGGTCTTCGTAATATATATTTTCTAATTTTGAACTTTTCTTTAAGGCATGGCCTTCTAGGAACCCCTTCAATGAGACTATCGTAATCTTTTCTAATCAATCCGAGCTCCAACTAAAACTGGATTATTATTATTATTATTATCATCATCATTCGATTTCTGCTATGGACACACTACCTACCAAGTCTGCGGAAAGACCTTTTGTGTTTTTCCACATTTCATGTTAATTTTTTTTTTTTTTTTTTATCTCCGATGAATTTAGCGTTACAAAAAAGTTCTCCCTTAGAAAAGACAATTTTCTGTATGTCTCTTAAGCTGGGGTTTCCAATTCTTTCAATGTGTTGTTTTGTTCCATTTTTATAATTCCAAGTGCACCTATTACCACTGGTATTATTCTTGTTTTCAATTTCCACATTTTTTCTATTTCAATTTCACAAGTTTTTCAAATTCCTTGGTTGCTATGTTATCCGCTGGACAAAATATCAATTAGTAGGCAAGTTTTTTCTTTCTGGTTTTTGACAATAATGTCACCTATTTGCTTAAATTTTTCTGTCTGTGTGGATGGTATAATCCCATAGAATGGTGACATTTTATTTCTGTATTGTTCATTTGTTTGCTTACACATTTTCCAAAGTGTTTGCACATTTCCAGTGTAAGTATTGAATCGTGACCATTTGGGGCAAGTATAGAACATCCTGAGATTAATGTCTAGTTTCTTGGTATTTGTCACAGAACCTGCATTTTGGATCCACATTATTATGTATGATATTGCCTGAAAATTCCTAGTGAAAAGACTCTCGCTGCAAGAATAAAGCCTTCAGTTTCAGACTTTAATCCAGATGCTCGTAACCATTATTAACTTTATTATTTATTTGCGTTCTGGATATTGGCCATGCAGAGGTTTGTCTTGCCAGCGTTGTTTCATCTGTTCATTTATCCTTGGCTTTCTTTTTCATATCTTTTGCTGCAATAGTTGGTTCTTGGCTTCTGTTTTGATTTATCTACTAAATTAAATGTTGTTTGTATTATTTATTATTATTATTATTATATTATTATTAATTATTATTATTATTTTATTATTATTATTTTTACTATTTTTATTATTTTATTATTATTATTATTATTTTATTATTTTTTATTTTATTATTATTATTATTTTTTTTTTTTATTATTATTATTATTATTATTATTTTTTTATTATTATTATTTTTATTTTTTTTATTATTATTATTATTATTTTATTATTATTATTATTATTATTATTATTATTATTATTTCTTCATTTCTTCTAGTTACTCCAGTTGAATGTAGGATTTGGGGAAGTCATTCAAGTCATCTAGATTATTCACTTATATAATATTTCTTCTTCTTCTTCTTCTTCTTCTTCTTCTTCTTCTTCTTCTTCTCCTCCTCCTCCTCCTCCTTCTTCTTCTTCTTCTTCTTCTTCTTCTTCTACTCATCATTAACATCGACATGCAAGTTGCTTGCTGATTTTTTTTTCGCACAGATCGTATTTGGTGTCTATGACCAGAAGTTAAGTGGCAACAAGTCTTTGTGCTTCAGCAATTTCTTCATCATCCTTCCCTAAATGAATGATGATTCAAATTATGATTCAATTGTTACCATTGTATTTCATATTGTTGCCTGTTCATCGCTAAATATTGAGTGAGAGCAAAGTATTTTCATTTCTCTGACACATTTCTAATTATTCTCAAAGATCCACGTATTATCAAGATTGTCGAGTTCTTCTGATTGAAATTTTTTTCTATGGAAGTCGCTAGTAAGCCCTCCATCAGATGAATCTAAAATTACCACCATTCAGACGGAGGATGTTCTATTTTTGTTCGTTCAGATTTTTGAGTTTCAGAACACAGTAATGACTGTGGGTGAAGGATTAAGACCAAAAATCAGTCAGAGGATTATGAATTTTGTTAATTCGTCTTAATTCTTGACTCGATTCCAACTTCGTCAAATAATGTGGACACAAACCTAACTTCTCAGCTTTCATACTATGATCTGTTTTTTTTTTCATTTTCTTTCGTCTCCTTCTTGGTGTTTGATTTTATTGAAGATTCTGCAATCTAGTAGGGTTTTTTTTAGTCATCCTGCTGGATCACAGATATAACGATTGATTGACTGACTTGTTTTATGGCTGATTAACATTCTGGTTTGTTATTTAAAGTCATAATTTTAGATAATAAAAATATAAAATTAATTATAATTACTTTTTGGAGGTAATAATGATTTAATCATAAAAATCCTACTAATTAACTCATAGCTGAGGGAGAGAATGGGAAGTCATTCCTTTCTCAAGAGTATTTGAGCTTTAGTTAATATAACAAACCAAATTGGAATTAAACTTAATTCACATTTAAAATCGGTCCACGTTATTGGAACACCTTTTATTATTATTGTTATTATTATTATTATTAGTAGTAGTAGTAGTAGTAGTAGTAGTAGTAGTTGTATGAAAAGATATACTATTACTACTAGTAATAGTAGTAGTAGTATATCTTTTGATTTTTGTTGTATAAACATATCATTCCGGGTCCCAAAAAGAGACCTAAAATCAGGAATGGACTGATGTTATTTTCCACTGATCATTTTCATAAAAATGAGAAAAAAAACTAAGATCACATACATTTTACATAGATAAATTTCTTCGTAATGTGTGAGTTATACTTGTGAGTACAATTATTATTATCAATAGTATTAGTATTATTATTAATCCTTTTATGTTCACACTCGTAGTAACAGATGTGTTACAGTGGAGTTTAAATGGCAGCAAATTTCCGGAATTTTTCTACATTCTTTTCTTGTCATAGTTACAACTGAACCTTTT